TATGAAATTTGGTACGTGTCATCTTCTCATTGGGACACACCTATAAAAAATACTAAAAATAATTTCTCGATAAAATATAATAATCAAAATACCCCTTGAAACTTTTAGAGATATTTTGGTCATTTTATTTTATTGATTTTTTTTTTTTTTTACTAGTGGGAGTTTAATAGAGGAATGGACGTTCAAAATTTCGTGTCAAAATAGTTTATAGATAAAAAATTAAAAATAAAATAGTGTAGAGACATGATACTGTGATTGAGGTAATCTTAGCCCTCCATTCAGAATAGACGGTTTGATAAGGCGAGGATAGAACTTCTATGCTGTAGGGGAAGCATAGAAAGCTTGTCCTAATGAAATTTACTAGCACGCTACTTATTTTTGCTAAAATATGTTTTATTCCCGCAGGAGTATACTATCAATCTACTACTTCGTGCAAAACTTATAAGAGGGATATCTTTTAGGGCAAGCTTTCTATATTAGATCCTAAATTTAGGGATGTTATCTCATGAACCCTCGCAACTTTCTATTAAAATAATAATTTAGATGGATCCCAAAATTTCAAAAAAAAAAACCAGCCCAAAATTTAAAATAAAAAAATGTCATCCCAAAATTTAAAAAAAAGATATGTTTCTATAAGGTTGCAACCTTAAACAATCCAATTAAGCCACACCTCCAATTTTATCATAACATGAAATTTTGTTGTAAAAAATTCTTAGGATTATCTTAAAATATATTTTCATATCTAATTAGAAAATTTTAAATTCTAAAAATGGTTAAAATCAAGTAGATCTATAAATATAGGAAAATCTTGAAAATGGACGGTCTAGATAATGTGTTGCAAGACGCACTATTTCTGGTATTCAAATTTTTTTTTTTTCGTATTCATACATGTTATTGTCGAGATGATCAATTAGAGGGTTTTTCAACATTAAAATAACTTTTCTAATAAACTTTTGAGGTACATCTATGATTCTGCATTTTAAGGTTGCGACCTTAAAGAGAAAAGTTTATATAAGGTTGCAACCTTAAAATGTAGAATCAAAGATGCACCTCAAAAATATATTGGGAATGTTGTTTTAATTTTGAAAAACCCTCTAATTTATCATTTCGACATCGAGAAGTATGAATATGAAAAAAAAAAGTTTTTGAATCCCATAAATAGTGCATCTTGCTGCACATTATCTAGACCATCAATTTTCAAGATTTTTATATATTTATAGGTCTATTTGATTTTAAGTAGTTTTGGAGTTTAAAATTTTTTAATTAGATATGAAAATCGATTTTAAGATAATTCTAAGAATTTTTTACAACAAAAGAACATGTTATGATAACATTTGGAGGTGCGTCTTAATTGGATTGTTTAAGATTGCAACCTTATAGAAACCGCACCCTTTAGAAAAAAGTAATATGTATATGAAAAAGTCTTCCTAATGCCTATAGGCGAAAATGAATAGTGATTTTGTCTACCCTCATCACCGTCATCCCGTGGTCACGATTGTCCAGTAGTATTTTATTTTTCCTTTGTTTTTTAAAAATCAGAATGACCTGAAATTTGAAGGGTATGTACATCTTACTGAGATGCATCTAATAAAAATATAAAAAAAAGTACCCATGAAAGAAAAATTGACCAAAATACCTCCAAAAAATTTCAAAGGTATTTTGATCAATGTTTTTCAAGTAAAATATTTTTTTTTTATATTTTTTGAAAATTACCTTATTTTTTATGAATACACGTTCTAAATTTCAAATCATTACAATTTATATAAAAAAGAAGAAAAATTAAATACTACCAAACAATCATAACCGCGCAATGAACTTTGAACAATGATGGGAATGAACGAAATTACTATTTATTTTCGTCTGTACAGTATTTTTCATATATATATATATATATATATATATATATAATGATTTGATGAGCCATCACGCCTACTAAAAGAGAGTGAGCCGAACGCTCTTATTCGTTCTTGAAATTGAAGGGCTGAGGTTTCGTGTGGCAGCGACAACTGATAATTGTGCGCACTCTCTCTTTAGCCTGTGCACGACATCTCTTCTTGTACCTAAACTCTCGATTCGGTGAAACCATCTCTCTCTACCTAAACTCTGGCATCCCTATCTCTCTCCCCCGTGAGCTTCTTCCCACCCTCTCCAAATCCCGTGAGCCTCCTCCCATTGTCTCTCTCTCCGGTGAGCCTCCTCGCCTCTCTCTCTATTGCGAGCCTCATCCATTTCTCTCCCCCCCACCCTTCGAGAACAACAATCAGCCTCCTCGCTCAGCAACCCTAAATCTCCAAATTCAGCAACCCTAAATCCCCAAAATCAGCAACCCCAGTTTTGTGGACTCTGGAATCTCTCTCACTGGAAGCCTCCTCCAGTTTCAGCAACTCTAAATAAAAAATAGTGGTTTCGATCAACTATTCACAGCAAGGTACGAATTCAATTTACTTTTGGCATGGTTTTATGAAGTTCTTCTTGAATATTTTTAGCTGCATTTTTTCAGAGCTATTTCACTGTATATCATCTCTGTGTTTCATCTCTGCATATTAGTAATCCGCTAACTCCTAAATCTATGGACTTTTACGATTTTACATCAAAATGAATTATGCGAATCGTACAAACTTATATCTCGGACATGGCAGTTTGGAGATCATTCACAGATGCAGTAATTTTTTATTTGAATATTGGGGATTTAGGTTTACATTTTGTGGATTTAATTATGTCTTTGTCTTGTACATTTACTATGAAATTTTTACCCATATTTCTTCACCATTGTCACTCTGCAAACGATTCCAGTATTTGCTTTGCTTTGCCATCACCATTGTCACTCTGCAAAATCTCTATCTTGATTTGTTTTCTCTATCTCTCTCATCTTTGTTGAATCCGAATATTTATAAGAAGAGGCTCAAATCTGTGGCAAAAACAATATGGTTATGAATTTAGATTTTCATTTTATCTATATTGTGCTTATTCCTTTACGTGACAATTTGGGGAAAGTGTTTATTTTCTCTGCCTGCATATTTTAATGTTTGGTTCTGTGAAGTCCTAATTTGGAGATTTCTTTTTTTATTTTAAATTGTTGAATGTCATCCATTGATGTTGCTCTGTTAAGTGATTGATTTTTTGGTTTAAAATTGTCGAGTGGCATCTATTGATGTTGCTCTGTTAAGTGATTGATTTTTTTTCATTAGGTTTGTTTACTTTCAATCATCAAGCATTTAGGTTTGTTACTGGTTCAAACAGGGTGGAATTCATGTTGCTCTGTGAAGTCCTAATTTTGAGAAATATTTTACCGAAATTATCGAATGGCATCCATTGATGTTGCTCTATTAAGTGATTGATTTTTTTTCATTAGGTTTGTTTACTTTCAAACATCAAGCATTTTGGTTTGTTACTGGTTCAAATACGGTGTGAAGTCCTAATTTGAAGATTTTTTGTTTTAAAATTGTCGAGTGGCATCCATTGATGTTGCTCTGTTAAGTGATTGATTTTTTTCATTAGGTTTGTTTACTTTCAATCATCAAGCATTTTGGTTTGTTACTGGTTCAAACATGGTGGAATTCATGTTGCTCTGTGATGTCCTAATTTTGAGAAATTTTTTACCGAAATTGTCGAGTGGCATCCGTTGATGTTGCTCTGTTAATTAGCTTGTATTCGATGTGTCTGTGGGTAAGAGGTTTTTCTCTATCTCTGCTTACGTTTTCTGGATAACACTCTTGTTAATTATTTGAGAGTATTTACGGGTAAGAAGTTTTTCCCTATTTCTGCTCACCTTTTTTGGAGAACCCTCTTGTTAATTATTTGAGAGTATTCATTAACGAAGAAGTAGTTGATTCTTTTGTTCCTCAGCACTTGTTTAGAAAAGATGAAGATGTACCAGAGAAATTACCTACGACTTGTGTGAGAGCATTTGATGTGCATGTGAACCTATATGAAGAAAGGGAGGTCAAAGGGTTTGTTTGTCTGTTAAAAAGCTTCCCTTGCTTAGAAGTTCTTCACATTAAGGTGCTGTTTGAACCTGAATCACATTAAGTTGCTGTTTGAACCTGAATGTCATATAGCACTCGTAGTGTGTTACCTACACTTAGTTTTTCATTTATATATGTCATTCTGTGCATTTACTTTTTCCTTTATGCACCACTAACCTGTTATTCCTTGTATTTTTGAAGTCTCGATGTGACCATTTCGGTATCGGTAGCGAAACTGATAAAGGTTCCTGGAAAATGCTGTGCCATTCTGAGTCTTGGTTGGTTCGCATCAAGAGAGTAGAGATCAACAGAATTACAGGAACTGAGCAATAAATAGAAATGATTAGGTTCTTTCTAGCAAACACCAAAACATGGAGAAGCTTATTGTCAAGATAGAAAATGGATTGGCTTTTTTCATGATAGTAAATGGATTGTAAAGCCAAGATGGGTTCGATTTAGTGAAGCAGTTGAACATTTTCCCTATAGCGTCTAATCATGCCAAGGTGCAAATCATTTAGACTCGCAAAAAAGTTCAGATATTTTCAGAGAACTTGGAGGTGTCCCTAGTTTGGGTCCCATCTGTTTCATTTTTCTGCCTCTTGTTAAAATTGTTAAAGAGTATTTTCTGAAAAGTACATTAGTTTTTATGTTATTTTATCATGAGTGATGTAATAAGGTTGCACTTGTAAGTTTGCGTAGTAGGAATTTCTAAAACTACTAGGTGGTTACCCGTTATTGTTGCAAGTGAGTAGTTATTGTAGGAAATATGCTTTTAAAAACCTCTATTTAAAGAGAAGTGTATTGTGGGAAAAATTGGATCACATGTGTTAAGGTTAAATAGAAGTGTATTGTGGGAAAAATTGGGTCACATGTGTTAAGGTTAATCTTGGGTGTCAAGATTGTACTGCCTTTGTGTACCCCATTTTTCATCTTTGAATGAAAGATTTCTTCCACCTCATTTTGGTTCTTCTTCTTTTTATTTGGTTGTGACTCTTGGTCTAGTGTGATATTGTTACACTAGTTGAGAAGCGGATTGTTCCGGTGTTGTGGCATCCGTCTTTATCTACACTTACATAATGTGAATCTAATTCTCTATGTTTCAGAGGATAAGCATTTTGAAAATGATGAGTAATGAAACTTCCTTGCAACCAATTGTTTCTTCTTTCTAGTGAATAATTTAACTGGTATTAAGTTAAAGAGATAATCTGTCCACATTTTTTTCCATGGGGTCCTCCTTCCATAGTCTCTCTTAATATTCATGGAACAAATTTCCAAGGGTAGAATTTCCTCAACATGATAACGAGCACGCTAGGATGATAGAAAAGCACCAATACAGCATTTCTGTGCACATTTTTGGATAATCAAGATTGCATCAAACAGACAATTGTGTTCTTCCTTGAAAGCTACCATGAGCCTAAATTTTGAATTATAGCAGTCACAAGTTTTTACCTGTGACTGCTATATGAAGATAAACACCCTTTCTTGAAATAATTCAAAATGGTTTTTGCACTTTCTGAGTGCAAAATAACCATTTCCAGTTTATCTTTTCCAAAAATTTTGTTTTATGTCCTTCATCAAGGACGAGAGGATGTGCTTGTCAGGCTTGGGGCCAAAAAGCAGTTTCCTTTATTTTTCTTTCCTTTTTTTTTCGCACCCCTCAAAGTTTTCCATGGATTTCTTCATTCGCGTTAAGAGAATGTATCTCACAAGTTTGGAACGAAGCAGACTCCTCTAAAGCCTCCAAAAATGGGGCAGGCGAACAAATCGCGCCATCCCTCAGTAAAACTTAGATACCTTGAAATACCTTCAAATCCTAATGCTTAGCAGCATACAGAAAAGCGATTTTCCTCTCAATATAGGGGTCACGGAAAGCCAATGACATGGAACTTTTGGTGAATTTCATGGGGCCTAGGACCAATATGCATTCCTTGTAAATTGTGTGAGTTAATAATTTTATCTTTTCTCCTTAAATTTGTACTTAATTTCAGGTGCGTGTAGCAAAGATGGAGTATTGAGTATAACAGAGACAATATCTGTTGTGGACTCCAGATCTTCAGTTCCCAAGCTTGATTCTTTTTCAACTTCAAATTCAGATCTCTCTTCGATCTTATTCCCAATTTGCCACAATTTGGAAGGCTATAACAATTTAATAAGTGTCATAGGTATTCAATGTGTTGAACTAAATTGTTATAGGTATTCAATCGTATTGAAAGTTGGCGAACCACGAATATCATAGGAAAGGCACTTGATTTACCTCTAGATTTATAATTTGTCCATTTATAAGTGGCTATTGTATGTGTGGCTTGTTTGAGACTTTTAAGTGGTTAAAGGAGGTGTACTTACAAATATTCACCTTGAGGTATTCTTGGCTTCAGAAGCCAATAATGCAAGCTTACTGTCAGAGGGGTTGAGAGACCCAAAGGTCAACAGTAGTAAACTTCCTGCACTGTTGCTATGATGCATTAAGTTCAAGAATTTAGCTGATGATACACATGTTAAGGATCGATGAAGTCTATTTAAAAGTCTTTTGGTTGAGATAATTTAAAACTGCCTTGCTAATCATCATATATTACAGCCTGAACTGATCAATCATGGGCAGGAACATAGATATCAAACATAAGGTTCTTTCTATTTTTTTGAATGTGATGTGACTTTTATGTACAAAAGATATTTTATGTACAAAGATAAATTGTTTATTTTTTATAGATAATCCCATTTTACTTTGTGCATTTAGTTTACATTTTGCATTACTAACCTGTGGTTCCTTCCTGGTCGTATCGACGGTGCAATATGCCCCATGGGACAGTGAAAAAGATGAAGGATACTGGAAAATGCTTTGCCGTTCTGTCGGTTGGTTGGGTTGCCTCAAAAGAATAGAGATTGATAACATTAGAGGAACTGAAAATGAACTGGAAATGATTTGGTTCTTTCTAGCAGAACACCACATCACTAGAGAAGTTTAATATCGAGATAGGAAACTTTGGTGATGAGACATAAAAAGAATTGGAGATCCAGATAGGGTTTGAGATAGCCAAGCGATTGAACTTGTTTCCTAGAGCCTCTAATCGTGCAAGGTGCGCATAATTTAGACTCACTAGAAAAATCAGATATTTTCAGAAAAGGTTGGGATATTCATTATTTACGTCTTAACTGCTTTATTTTATATGACTCTTACATAATTTGAATTGTCATTCGCTATGCTTTTTATTTTATTTTATTGGTTGTCATTCTCTATGCTTTTGAGGATCAGTATTATCAAAATGATAAAATCCTTTCAAGTAAATAAATTATTTACATCGTTGAAAGTTAAAGAGATCCAGAATTTGCTAGGATGATTGGAATCACCATTATGCACGCAAAAAACTTCTCTCCCTCCTCTCCACCCATATCTCCATTACAAGTCTTTCTCATCCCTTTCTCTCTCTACGTATCTCCATTATAAGTGTTTATAGAAGATAACATCTCGTTCTTGCATATGTAACATTGTGAATCTCACCAACTCATCTTTCATGAGAGAGTGTGAGTGATCTTAAAGGGTCTCTTACACTTTTATCAGTATTGAGTCACAAGCAAATATCTATGAGTTGGTTACTGAAAGATTGAATATCAAGAACCCGAACCGCAACTTAGAAGAAGCAGTAAATAGATTACCTCAATACCTTGAACATTTTACCTATCTAGAGGAACATTATGAGAGGATTGGGGATGAACTAGATTATGAGCCTTCAACTTATTAAGAAGCCATAACCTGTTTTGAAAAGAACCATTTAGTAGAAGTCATGAAAGATAAATACAATTTCATAAACCAAAACCATATTTGGTAACTAGCACTTGTACCTGGAAACGGTAACTATGTTTGGGACCTAATACTTCTACCGCGAAACCGTAAGACCATAGGATGCAAGTGGATTTTCAAAAAAAACTGAATTTAAATGAGAAATTCGAAAAATACAAAGCTAAGCTTCAAATTCTAAGATTCAGTCATGTGTTTGAATCCTATCATTTCAAAAAGGTTTTTTTCACTCTAAACCTTACATAATTGGGCCAAGCTGTGCCCTAAACCATGTGTAACAGGCTTCTATAACCGGACCTAAACCTTAAATAAATGGGTGAGGTCGTATTTTCACTCTAATCCTTGCATGACCTCACTAAGATGGGACTTTAAATCATCCATCACTTTTCCACCGTCGCTATGCCGGGTAGCCATAGTCTAAAGTAGCACCACCCGGTCTACTTTCAATATGGAGCCTTCGGATTCTTTCAAGGAGGAATTCGGTACCACCGTAACGTAACCAGTACGGAATTCCCTGGTTAGAACCTCGAACTGGCAAAACTAACGGACAGCTGATTTCAGAGTCTTAAAAAGACCACATGGCGGTGGCTATTACTGTTAATGGCAAATTTGTTGGTCAAGGCTCAACAACAATGAAGTCTAGGTCCAACATGACACGGATGGAATTTCTTAATAGGGCCTACAACTAGAAATAATTATAATGCCCAGAACTATAACGCCTAGACAAAGGCCCAATTGATAGTTCTTTCTTTAAGAAACCATAACCATATCATTATCAAGCCTGAGCTTCAGGGTGTGGGTTAGCACCCCAAGTTCCAATCTGACCAGAAGCTCTGGTGGGATCGGCACATAGTGTGCGGTGTGCCGAGATCTGGATTTGATACTGTAACAGAGCATGAGACTGAAATAGGGAAGGAAAATAAGTGAATTTCGGAACATGAGCTTTAGGTTGGAACAATACTTGGGATGCCGACTCCTACCCTGGTCCTAAGTCCATTTTGGTACTCCAATGCCAACTTAACTTGAGCTCAAGTCACGCCGGCACTTGGACTGTCGACCTAGGGGCATTTTGGAGAAAAATGAAAAAAAATGGAGAAAGGGATTTTACAAAGAGACTATTTACGGGTCACAACTACTCCCACTCATTAGATGTCAAATTGGATGGCTTGGGGTGAGTCAAGAAATCTAAGAATATTTTTTTTCGAACTTTGTGTCTAATCAATAACACTCTTACAACTACCCATTTTGAATGGTCTCTTTGTAGACAATCCCAGGAGCAAAAAGAACAAGGGTGTAGAATGTAAAAATTAAGAGAAATATTTTAATTACATAAAAGTGATAATTACAGAAATTTCCCTAATAATTAATATGGCTAATATTTACTCAGTCCAAGATAATATAGTGCTTTTTTTTTTTGTGTAATTAAGGTAATATATTGTTACGCTCGCTAAATTTCAATATAGATCAAGTCTCACCAACGAATAAAATGGCAAATATCTTAGACACCTCCTTGACCAATTCCAGAATCGCAAAATGGACATTCGCCATTGCACTCATAAGTTATAAACTTGTAAAATGGAGGAGCCATAAATATATAGTTAAAAACATCGATATGTTGGTTAAACACCATAATCCAAGATTGAATGATAGAATGAAAGTGATAAAATAAAACAAGTTGTATAAAATCAGAAGATGGAGGATTAAAATGCTAAACTGAAGTAAATAATACCATGAGGGTAATCAACTCTTTTGACGATTTTGATAGGGTTGTAACACTAGCATAATAAGAAAAGCGTCGGCTCAAAACTCATCGATAATTGTAGTCTTGACATCGGAAAACCTTTAAATCGATCACCTCTGTTTGACGGTGAAAAAAAAGTTAGGATTTCAAGCCTTATAAATAGTGTTATATTATATTTAGCCCATGTCACCTTAAAAATAAGTATTCATGGATCCACAAGATCATTACTATTTGTTGATCATCAAATTTCAAGTCAGTATTAGAGCAATTAAGATTTATGATGCCCAAAGTGCTTTCTTGACAAGGATTTCAAGTGAGGCTTTATTGTTGGATTTTGTGCTATTTAAAATCACCCACATAAGGAAATCTCATATTTTATGGGATTGATTGAGATTGATCCATATTATATGAGATTGAGATATTTTTATATTATGTTGGATTGAAATTGATATTGATAACTTTCGTAAAGAAAATAGAAATCCAAAAAAATTAGGACTATTGGATATATCTCTTCGTCTTTTTTGAGATATATGGAAGATCAATAGTAAGTTTGCTATATAGTATAGATTTCTAACTTTATATACATATATGAGATAAAAGCGCATAGAATTTTTGTGCTCTATTTGGGTCACCATATGGGAATATTGGTTCTTGTAGAGAGAGAGGGGGCAGAGCCTCATGTACGTAAGATGTAAGGTTTCCTCTTGATGGTGCCTCCCCAAGACTCCTGCAGAGTGAGATGTTGGAATCTTATCGAGAAACTCCTAGAGACTCCTACAGAATGAGATGTTGGTTTCTTGTAGAGAATCAGTGGTCTAGCTATGGAATAGAGATGAGATATCGGTAGTGGTGCTGTTTGGGAGACGACTTGGGTTTTTGTCAAGGTTTATAGAGATAACTCTATGATCCAAAATCTTTGATGTAACTTTTATTGATATAGTGGATTTCAGTTTGTCGTTCCTGTGGATGTAGCACTTTTGGGGTGAACCACGAAAATCTTTGTATTTTTGTGGTATGTGTTTGATGTTTTATTTCTCATACTTTATTTGTTAAATATTAACCCATCGGGTTTAGAACTTCTACGCAAAACAAGTGGTATCAGAGCACTACATTGACTTTGTTTTTATAAAAGCCTAGGCCTTATAGAAACTCTGTTCGAGTAGTTTTAATTTTTTCTTTTTTTATAATTGCGGATGTATATCTCTAGAGATGTGTTAAACGTAATAGTATCTCTTCCCTTCCAATTGGTCATTTGTTCTTCCGCCTCCCTACTATTTGTAAATGATTTTGGAAATGAAAGTCCATGTAAATCTTCTATCCCATATTCTTTATGGAAAATATAGAAACCTACTGATGTTTATGAACAATATTTTTCTCCTTCTTATGTGTACCCATATTAAGAAGGTGGTTCATTACATACGTTAGTTTCTATAGTATTACATATCTTTGTAACCCTATAAATTAGGGCTCTTGTTTGTATCTTTGATAAGCTCAATAATACATCTTTCATGGGGGCTTAATGCCCAATTATACAGAAATACAGTTTCTCACATTCTTTACCATGACCTTATATCTATCTATTATATATTAAGCGAGAGCAATACCCCACTTGTTTCATTCAATTCTTATCTCTCTCCATGCCACATTTCTACACGCTATCTCTCTCTTTTACTTTTCTTAATTTACACTTACTTTCCATCTCTCATATATTTTTCCATTATCTCTCTCTCCACTCTACATGCATGCAAAATATAAAAATACGTAACTCTTGTGTGATGGCACCTCATCTTCTCTCCATATCTCCCACGTTTCTATATTAGCTCTCTCTCTCCCAATTAAAGCAAACTTAACTTACTCATCCAATTAAAGCAAACTTAATTTACTTAACTTTTCTCTCTCTCTCTCGTTTCTATATTCTCATTCTTATTCTAATTCTCTCTGTCCCTACATGCAAAGACATAAAAATAAGTAACTCTTTTTTTAGTATGATGATACCTCATCTTCTAGGCAATTCAAGCAAATTCCTTTCTCTCTTAATTCTCGAACAGATCTTGATGCAAACTAAAAGGCGTTTGTAAAACCTATTTGTTGACAGGAGTTGGCTATAGGCGAGACTGATTTGTCTGACCCCAATTTAAATAAATTCATCTCTCTCTCCCCATGATTTACTCTCACTCTCTCCCACATTTATCTCTCTTATATTTCTCTTCATATCCAACATACCTCTCTCCCACATATCTCTCTCCCATCTTTCTCCTTCCTACTTTTTCTCTCTCCCTCTCATAATTCTCTTACCCATATTGCTCTCACATACAAACATGCACGCCACAACTCTCTCTTCTCTTCGTCTCTCATGCATGTCACACACTCTCTCTCTCAACTTTTAACGCGTGCTTCACACACAACAAATGTGATTATGCTAATACTCTCTAATGCAAACATATTTTTTTCTTCTACATAGGTATGTTGATTTCTATTTTCTTTTGATATTGTATATTTTTGGATATATATATATATATATATATATTTGGTTTTTCTTTTCCATGAACCCATAGATGAAGCCCCGTTACATGCTATGGAAGAAAGATTAATAGAGCAGCCTTGGCTACTTACTTTGAGAGAACCTAGATGAGTCTTCATTTCGCTGCTCATTTGATATTAGAGTTCTTGGATATTACCTTTGCTCAGAAACGTGTGTAGTGCTCATTTGATATTAGAGTTCTTGGGTATTACTTTTGCTTAGAAGCATGTGTAGTGTTTAATATAAGAACTAAATAGTTTTAATTGTGTGCAATATTTAATATAAGAACTAAATAGTTTTAATTGTGTGCAATATTTAATATAAGAACTAAATAGTTTTAGTTGTTTATAGGTTGCACTTCTATATGTTTTTTTCTTTTTTCTTTTCTTTTTTTTTTCTTTCTAGGAACCCATAGATGAAGCCCCGCTACACGCTATGGAAGAAGCAAAAAAGATGTATATAGCCACATTGGCTACTTTGAGAGAACCTAGATGAGGCTTCATTTGCCCACTCATTGGATATTAGAGTTATTCGGTATTACTTTTACTTAGACATGTGTAGTGTTTAATGTAAGAACTAAATAATTTTAATAGATTATCGATTGTACTTCTATATGTGTAATGAACATATCCTCATAGATGATAAAATACATCCTAATAAAATGTACTAGTTGTCATGCTTGGACCCATGCAACATTTCATGAAGATGAGTGAATATTATATCATCATCTTTGAATTAAACGAATTTTCATTTTTTATGTGATACTCATTGTTTAATTGCAACAATTTTTTTGTATATATGAATCATACAAGTATAATGTACTCTTAAGAAAATAATAATCTCCTGGTAATAAATATATTTAATACTACAAATGTAACTGTTTAGTTATAAATATTAATAGTAACAAAAATAAATTATATTATAATTTTTAATACTATTTATTGAATTATTATAAAATATATATTAATATTATACTACAATTGTCTCACATTTTTCTCTCTATTCTCTCTCTTCACAAATATTCTTAGGTACTTACTCTCTTCTTCTAATAAATCAATTTTTTTAAAATTTCTCTCATATTTTATCTCTTCTAATAAATCTCCTTCCCCCTACTACTTTTTTTCTTTTCTCTTTCGTCACCAATATTTTCACATACCTCCACTCTCTCTCTTTCCTAATAAATCAACAGTCCTAAAATTTCTCTACCTCTCTTCCCCACATTTCAAAACTTATCTCTATCATAACTTCCTATATTATACGACATTGTCTTTTATATTTCATTAAAACAAGAATTCTATTTAGTGAGCGGTTAGGTGTATGATATAAAATGTAGCTTTCGATCTCATGTAAATTTCTTTCATATATTTGAAATCATTAATATTCAATTTTAAAGAGATTTTTTATATTTTGTGTAAAAATTATTTGATTTATATTAATGAAGGATATAATTGTAAATGTAAAAAATAGGAAAAAAAACATAATTATAATTAATCATAAAAACAAATTAGAGAAGTACTTACAAAACTAAAATTATTTTGTACAAATAAATACCTCAAAGTCAAGTCACATTAGTAAATAAAAAATTTAAAAATTATAGTATCACTTGACTAGTAATTGTAAAAAAAATACAAAAATTAAAAAAAAAAAAAAAAAAAAAAAAAAAAAAAGCTCTTCCGATTAGCTTTATTCATTTATGTTTTTCTGCTTCTATTTCTTTCATTTCTATCCGTATTTTTTTTTATAATTTTCAAAATTCAAAATAAAATTAAAAAAAAATAAAAAATTTACTATCATAAAAGGGGAAAAAATAAATAATACCAACACTATGATTAGTTTTGATTGCAGTAGATACCTTTTTATTATAATTTTATTTTATGTATGGCATATTTTTGTATTTTCATATTCTCTAATTTTTTAATAATTTTTACTTATAAGTGAATAATATATGTAATTTTTTAATTAAAAATAAAACTAATTATAATAAAAATAATTTAGCTGAAAATATAAAAAACCCAAAAATAATTAATAAAAATACAAGTTATATAAGTTAATGATATAGCAAAACTTATATTGCTAAATGGAAAAAAAAAAAAAGATAATTTCTTTATTGTTTTTCTTTTGTGTATCTTTAGTTTTGTTAATTAATCAAAATAATACTAGCTTATAAATAAATAATATATATTAATATAAGTAAAACTAATTTAGTGCATGATACAATTAAAAAGAAAAAATAATAATAATGAAGTTTTTGGGCTTTGATTGGACCCATAAATATGTAAAATACATTAAATTAGAATAAGAGAAAAATATTCATATTTTTGTATTAACTATATTGTTTCTCAATCATTTTTATCTAAGACCGAAACAGTAAGAGTATCTTCTCTCTTTATAATTATGTGAAGATGGATCTATTAGAAGGTCTTTCTCTCACTCTCTCATCTAAAGTCCTTTAAAATATTATTTGAAGATAAAAAATTATTTTTATAGTTAAGAATTATTTTCTTTTTTCATTGTATCTCTAACCCTAAACTCTCTCTGCAATTAAGATTCTTTTCTAGTTTAATTTAACGTTTCTAGTCTAATTTAAGTGTGATTTAATACATGTTTGGTAGATATATTTGGTGACTTCTTTTTGTCTGTTCCTTTTCCATGACCATGCACTTTTTTTTTTTTTAAAGTTGCTCACTGGGTTCAAGATAGGGGTGACAATGTGTCAGGTTGCTTCCGAACCCAGACAGACCAAAAAAAGTATTATGGGGCCCGGACCCGAAGTCTCTACTAGCGTATGGATATCTTGTTAGTATTGATATATATCATTATGAATACATATCCATGGATATGTATCTGTATGGGTGTATATCTATATAGGGTCTTGTATATTCTTGATTAATTAATCAATAAAGAGAGTTCTCTATAATATTTTGAGTTTCTAACATGGTATCAAAGCTCTAGACTCTTCAACCTAAGATCTGGGCTGGCCGACCTCAAATATGAGGTCGCCAACCTCAGATCTGAGGTCGAAAATTTTATTAGATTCCAAAAGGCCACTTCCTCTTGTCGTTGTTTTGCATCGAATTGCATTGCCTGCTCTCGCCCTTGTTTGGCCCAACGCTACACAAGTAATCCAATCCTGTCCCCTCATTCCCAAAGCAGCACAAGAGAGCTTATACCATCTATATACAAAACCTTTGCTTCCGTTCAATATGCATAATGTTCCCTTGCACTTTGAATGTGTTTCGCATAAGAAAGGCCTTTGATTTCCCCATTGGCTTTGAGGGGTTTGAGAAGCTACTTGAGATCATATTCTCGGAGGCCTTGGTCTGTACTGACCCCAAAGGTCTTGGCCTTTGTGCCCTATCTCGTGTGCAAATCGAAGAGATCCTTGACTCTGCACGGTGTACAATTGTCGACTCACTTTCTAATGAATTCCTCGACTCC